GTCTGAGATATAAGTAATCCCACTGGTGAGCAAACTTTTTCTTTTCATGAACTGCTGCCCAGTGAATAAAGTCCCACTTTAATAGATTATTTTCATGAAAGCTTCTATCAAGAGAAATCACAAATTTATCAGTTGGGATAAGATTTCTACATAACGGGTTCTTTAACATGTCCTAAACACTTGCAGGACAAAAAAAAAAGGCTGTTCCTTAGTTTATTATAATTGGTGCCGACCAAATCAAAACATGTAAACATGTTTTTCAAATAGATTGTCTAGACCAAAACTGTAAATTCATCCTCATTTTAACTAGAAATGCACTACAGTTAGTATAATTAACAGAATGGCTATCAGCAAGCTTGTCATTCAGATATCAAGTATTATACTTTATATTCAGCAAACTTAATTTTATCAAATGTCCTTTAATTTCATAGAAGACAATATGATACATATTGTATACGGAACACAATTGTTTTGCAGTACTATTTCAACGTGTTTAAGAATTGGAACACTGAAGTTAAACACTGGTGTACTGACATTTTTGAACTTTAGATAAACTACATACAAAGTTTATAATTCAAACATTAGCCAATCTGAAAACTTTACTTCCCATAATATAAAAATGATACTCTGAGTTGCAAAATATTTATTCTTGTACTAAACAAACTATATAAACATTTAAAATAATCATTAAAACTCAACATTAGAATTTATAAAGATTAGCTATAAAAATATATTGGCAGTCACTTTTCTTACAAAGGTACCATTCACTACCTTACAAAAAAGTCTCTAACATAAAACTGCATTAATAACTACTATTTTTAGAATCTGATAATCTCTACATTAAATTGATTATAAAATCCTCTTGGAAGAACTTTGGTAAGCATGTTCAGAGGGTTTAAAAAAATCCTCATACCATTTTAAGGGCCTGTAAACATTCCATTCTATTGAAGCACAACAGAATAATGTATATTCAACTGCATATAGAATATAGAATCAAAACACATTATGTATTTGTAGAAAATCACCATTCCCAGAGTAACCAAAAACAAACTATTTAAAAGTATCACACTTTTAAATAGTTAAAATTATCAAACTTTTAAATAGTTCTCTTTCCATTCTAATAAAAAATTTACAAAATCACAACTCCATTTAGGTGCCTTTTAGGACAAGGCCTCAAAAATAATTAACTGAGTCTCGAAAACACTCTCAAGTCCCATAAATTTTTAACAACCCATTTAAAAGGCTTGACAATAGAACAAGTATACATAATCAGAATACATAATTTATATATTTAGTTATGTATTAGTTTTACATTTTTAATTTAGAATTTATTGGCAAAAACAACGCATACACACATATTATTGAAAAGGTAAATTTCAGGAAACAGAAATGCAAACTGTGAGGGTAAACTGATTTATTTTTTTAAAAATTCAATTTACCACATTTTCATTTTATCTGCCATTTTTGTATTATTAACGACTATCGTTAATTTAGAAAATTCAGACTGCTAAAAGTTCATTTGCTGCGTCTTGAGCATGTTTATAATTTTTACAAAGCTTCCAGTTGTGCCAGTAGCCTCCTTGAGGTCATTTCCCACTTTGTCCTCTGACACTAAATTTCTTGCATATTTATCTCTGAGATGCAAAAGGCTAAATAAAAAGCTTCATTTTTGACTTTTTAACTTACAAAAACTCCATTAAAAAGAAAAGAAATCCATCTAATTTTTAGGCAAGTCCACAAAAATATTTTCTTTCTTAAGAGTCAAACACTTTTATGGGAATAAAGATCCTTCAAAGTTTTTAACTCTTCTATTAGAGTTTTATTTTGATTTTCCAGAACGGCAACTCGATTTTCCAGGCATTTCACATATTCTTTCTTCTTTCTGCGACATTCTCGAGCAGCTTCTCTAAATATACATGTAAAAAAAAAAAATGTTAGAAAAATGTCACATTCTTTAAATGGCAAATGTACTTCAGTTATTTTCCCTGGTCATCTTTTTTTCCCTCTCATTAAAAAAAAATTGAGGTATAATCTACATACAGTGAAGTACTCAGATCTTAAGTGCAGCATTTGATCAGTTTTGGCAAATGCATATACCTGTATAACCCATACCCCTAGTAAGATATAGAATACTTCTATTGCCCCACAAAGTTCCATCATGCCCTTTCTACTCAGTCCCCTCCTCAAGCAACTACTGTTCTGATTTTCATCACCAAAGATTAGTTTTTCCTATTCTAGAACTGCATATAGCAGAGTCATACAGCCTGGGCTCTTGTGTCTGGGGGCTCCTTCCACTCAGCATATTTTGAGGTTGCTGCATGGTGGTTTATTCCTTTATATTGATCGTATTCTATCATATGATTATAACCACAATTAGTTTATCCATTCTCTTGGGCTATTTCCGGTTTTAGCTGCTATATGTTCCTGTACCAGTCTTTTTTATAGATATGTGTTTCAATTCTCTGGATAAATAGCAAGGAGTGAAATTGTATGAGTCCCTAGTTAACTTTTGACACAGAGCTTCTTTAAATTAATTAAGTTTTAATTACAACTAGTGATTGAAGAAATAACTGGTTCTGTGTGTCCTCTTAGAACACTTCTGTGAAGTCACAAGTTATACATACATACAGAAGCAGACATTATTTTGAGTTGTTACTTATACTGTGTACTGTAGATATTACCTGCAATTACTTTTTACTGTTTCACTTTTTATACTGTTTTAATGATGTTTCTGTCAGTATACAGATCTACCTTATTATTTTTAAAACCACTACACAGTTATCTACAATATACCAGTTTATTTAACCCCTCCCTCGCCAAAAAGACTTTTAAGTGGCTCCCAACTTTTCACTATTACACAATGCTGTGATGAACATCCTTAACATGCCCTTCATCATTTGAGTGTTTCTTGCTGGGTTCACAAGGTATGGTGATTTAAAATCAAGAGATATTACAAAATTGCCCTAGAAAGTATCTGCACCAATTTACACTGCCATCAGCAGTACGTGAGAGTACCTGCTTCCCTTCACCTTCTCTTACACTTGGTGTTCTGAAATTAAAATTTTTTTATCAGGCTAATGGTTAAAAGGAGTCCTGGTGGCGCAGTGGTTAAGAGCTTAGCTGCTAACCAAAAGGTCAGCAGTTCGAATCCACCAGCTGTTCCTTGGAAACCCTATAGGGCAGTTCTACTCTGTTCTATAGGGTCGCTATGAGTTGGAATCGACTCGACGGCAAAAGGTTTGGTTTTTTTGGATTTGGTTTCAATGGTTAAAAAATTCTATCTCCTTAGTTTAATTTACTTTTTCCTGATTATGCACAAAATTTGGTACAATGTCATATTTACAGGCCATCTTTATTTTTCCTTCTCTTAGGTTATCTTTTTTACAGGGAGTTCCCGACTTATGAAGGGGCTCCATTCCGATGACTCTATGGTAAGTTGGTTCTGTTGTAAGTTGAATATCTCATTTTTTTTTTTTTTTTAGTTTTCATTATTATTGCATTTTGTTATCAGTATCTTTATAAATCATAATATTGAACATCTGCGAGTGAACATCTGAGAATGATAACATCAGCAATACTGTATTAAGCACATATTACTAACGATAAGATGTACCAAAAAAAAAAAAAGATGGTCCTAAGTGCGGTTCATTGTAAGCAGAATATGTCGTAAGTCGGGGACTACCTGTATTGATTTTACAAAAATATATCTTTATATATATCCGGTAATTCTTTCTCTTTATAAAAGTTGCAGTTATTTTTCCCAGTTAAGTGGCTTGTTTTTAAGTTTGTTTATGGCATCTTCTATCATACAAGAGTGAAACTATCAGGTCAAGGAATATGTACTGTAAAACTTCCTATTTCCATCAGTAATATATGTAAAGTATCCTTTTCCTTATATGCCCCACAGTCAGTATTATAATTTTTAATTTTTGCCATGTGACATCTTATTAATTTTCATTTCCCTAACTACTTGTGAGATTGAGCATCTTTTCAAAAGTTTATTGGTCTTTTGGGTTTGCTCTTCTGTAAACTGCCTATTTCATATTTTTTGTCCATTCGTATCTTTTGCCCATTGTTAAATTAGGTTGTTTGTCTTACATTTTCTAAGAATACGCTGTGCATTATATATATTAATCCTTTTACATTCTTCTCTAATCTACTATTTAACTTCTGATATTTTTATAGTATTTTGTGCTGTAAAATTTTTTAAAAAAATTATTAATGCTCTCTTTTAGCATCTTTATTTCTTGGCTTAGATAAAAATGTTCTATAATATGTGTTTCTCTCTAAATTTTATTTTAAAGATTTTATTGTCATTTTTCATGATTAAGTCTTTTATATCTGGAATTTATTTTTGTAAATGGTAAAAGGTAGGGGTCCAATTTTTTTTCCAGATGTGGAGCTGGCCGTGCCAGTATCATTCATTAAATAGGCCATTCTTCGCAAGTATACTTAAATAGCACAAGAAGCTATTTCTGGGCTCTGTATCATGTTTCACTGATGTTACTGTCTGCACCTTTGCTGATACCAAGTTTTGATTACAATGGCTTTAGAGTATGTTTCAATACCTAATAAGAGAAGTAATCTTTTTCTGTTCTTGACTATTCTCAAATACTTGTTTTTTCTATGTAAACTTTCAGCTTATTTTACCCAATTCCATAAAGATCTATAGGGATTCTAATTTGAATCACAATAAATTTATATGTGAATTTTGGAAGAATTGACATTTTATACTGTTTCCATCTAAGAACATGGTATATATTTTCTTTATTTGTTCAGATAGTGTTTTAGCTCTCAGTAAGATTTTTTAATGTTGATCCTATGCCTTTTCTGTTAAATGTGTTCCTAAGTATTTTGGTTTTTGTCACTAATATGAATGTAGTATTATTTCCCATTATTATTTTCAAGATGGTTACTGAAAGAAAAAAGCTATTGATTTACATTTTCTTTTATCTAGACACCATACTATAAATTGCTAATTTATAAATTACTATAGTTTTTAAAAATTTTAGTATGAAGTAGTATACACAGAAAAGATTGTATGTGGTACAGATGTAAGCTTTGAAGCATAATAATAAAATGAACACATGCAAACCCAATATTACCCATATTGTTGAAGGGTCCTCTGTGCCACACCCTGATTCCATATCCCTGCCTCTTGCCCAGAAATAATTACTAGCTTCAATCTCTTGCTTATCTTTATAGCTTTAGTACATGTATATATGCCTCTAAGTTATGCTTATTGCCTCATACAAAGCCCTGGCGGCGCAATGGTTAAACTTTTGGCTGCTAACCAAAAGATCGGCAGTTCGAGTCTACCAGCTGCTCATTGGAAACCCTATGGGGCAGTTCTACTCTGTCCTGTAGGGTCGCTATGAGTTGTAATTGACTCGATGACAATGGGTTTTATTGCCTAATATAGAATATCATACTTTATGTATTCTGTTGGGAAACTTGCTTTTTTCACTTATTTTTCTAAGATTTATTATGTTGAAGTGACAGTTCAATCACTGTTATAGGTTGAATTGTGTTGCCCAAATATATATGTCCTAACCACTGGTACCTGTGAATGTGACCTTATTTATTTTTTTTCCTTTATTTGGCTGTGGCAGCATACTTGTCCGTTTTCCATATGTGACCTTATTTTTTAATAGGGTCTTTGCAAACGTAATTAGTTAACATGAGGTCTACTGGGGTAGGGTGGGCCCTAATGCAATATGAATAGTGTCTGTATAAAAAGAGAAGAGACACAGAGACAGAAACAGGGAAGACTGCCATATAAAGACAGAGGTAGAGAATGGAGTTATGCTCCCACAAGCCAAGGAATGCCAGGGGCTACCAGAAGCTAGAAGAGACAAGGAAGGATCTTCCCCTAGAGCCTTCAGAGAGAGCACTGCCCTGCTGACACCCTGAGTTTGGACTTCTAGCCTCCAGAACTGTGAGAGAATAAATTTCTAGGAAACTAATACAATCATTATATATGAACACTATTCCATTGAATCCATTCTGTTATCAGTGGATATTTAGAGGTTGTTTCCTGTTTTTTTGCTGCTGTGAACATTAAGAATGTTCATATTTTCTGCAAAAGTCTCCCTCAGTCACATACAGAACAAAATGGCTGAGTCACAGGGCATATCCAGGTCAACTGTACAAGATAAAGCCTAATTAATTTCCAAAGTGGTTATACCAGTTTACACTCTCATAAGCAGTTATGTGTTCCACTGTTTCAGATCCTTGCCAACTCCTAGTCAGACTTTAAGTTTTTTGCCAACTGAGTAGGTATAAATGGTATCTCAGTGTGGTATTAATTTGCATTTCTTTGATTGCTAATAAGCTAATATGATTATTAACCACTTGTATTTGTTGGGTTGCCCTTTTCTTACTTATTTACAAGAGCTTTATATTTTTTCAAACCAATCTTCTGTTGGTTATGTATGATGCAAATATCTTTATAGGTTTCTGGCTTATATTTTTTACTCTATTATGGTATCTTTTCATGACCAGAAATTATTAATTTTAATGAAGTTAAATTTATGAATCTTTTTTTTTGGGGGGTCTTGTTTAAGAAGTCCTTCCTCCCCAATACACCTGAGGCCATGAGGTTATATATTTTCTTCTAAAGGTTTTAAAATTTCCTTTTCACATTGAAGTCTTTAATCCATCTGGAATTGATTGTTGTGTATGGTGTGAGGAAGAAATCCAACATTTTTTTCACATGTGAATAACCAATTGTCCTAGCACCATTTGTTGAAGAATCCTTCCTTTCACCAATAGTCTGCCATATCTGTCATATCAAGTTTTAATAAGTGCATGGCTCTGTTTCTGGGCTATTTCTGTTTCATTGGTCATTTTGTTTATCTCAATGCCAATATCACTATATTTTAATTACCACAGCTTTAAATAAAA